GAGCACAGGAAAATGGGTCAGGTCTGGATGGGCAGAGAGACGAGGCAAGAGCATTCCTGGTGTGGCCAGTTTACCACTCACCTCTGGTGTTCAGCTATGAAACTAAGAGTGAGTCAATCACACCTTAACGAAATGTGGATGCTATGGCTCTGCGAGTAGGGGAATATTATTTCTAATTCTATAAAACCAAAGCACTACAGGGCCACAGGAAATAATGCCATGAAAGGCCCCAGCCACCCAATGGCAATGTGCTGGCAACACTGGTGATCAGGAACACGTATGGAGGGGTCAGACCTGGCCACAAAGTCTGCTCTTAGGACCCCAGCAGCGAGCCCCCAGAGAAATGCCTGATCCCTTCTGAGCCTCAGTCTCCTCATTTGTAAAATAAATATAAAATAAAGACACAGTCTAAACGGTTGCTGTGGAAATGAAAAGAAAATCTACATGAAATACTTAGTGCTAAATAAATAAATAAATAAATAAATAAATAAATAAATAAATACATACTTTGCGCCTGTGGTACCTGGGTGGCTCAGTGGTTGAGCATCTGCCTTTGGCTCAGGTCAGGATCCTGAGGTCCTGGGATCAAGTCCCTCATCAGGCTCCCTGTGGGGAGCCCACTTCTCCCTCTGCCTATGTCTCTGCCTCTCTGTGTCTCTCATGAATAAATAAATGAAATATTAAAAAAAAAATGCTTTGTGCCTAACCTAAAGAAAGCACTCAATAAGCATCAGTTGTATTATTATTAGTAGTAGTAGTATTACCATTATTGTTGCTACATATGGGTTTGGTTTAGTTAATGGAGCATATCTAATTAGTGGAATACTGTGCAACTTTTAAATATCTTGTGGTGGAGGAATATTTATTCACACAGCGAGTCACAATATGCTGATAAGTCAGGGAGCACAAAGCATGCTACAAGCAACATGGTTATTATGATTTCCTGTGCACAGTTCTGGGTAAAAACAAATACCAATAAATGCAAAAACTGGAGAAACAGGATGCTTTTACCTCTATGTTTTTTCTACGTTTTCTAAGAAAAGGAAAGAAGTTATTTAGTAATAAAAGCAATAATACAACCTTCACTCTAGGCAAGGCTTTTCATTTTCCAAAGCTTTTTCATATGACCTCGTTTTTATACTAATTTAACTTTTAACGACCGTTATCGAACTGTTATTCTTCCAAATGTCTTTAAGCCAAAATCCTGAAATCCATCTACCTACCCCCCCAAAAGGACAATCTTTCCACTAAAAGACCATCTTTCATTGACACCTTTGCTAACAATCAGGTAGCTGGCTTCTCTCCAAATGACAGAGCAGAGACATAAATCCATTTTTAGAACTAGGGCTTTTTGTAAGTAGTTTTTATTTTTTTTTAATTTTTTTTAATTTTTTTTTTAATTTTTATTTATTTATGATAGGCACACAGTGAGAGAGAGAGAGGCAGAGACACAGGCAGAGGGAGAAGCAGGCTCCATGCACCGGGAGCCCGACGTGGGATTCGATCCCGGGTCTCCAGGATCGCGCCCTGGGCCAAAGGCAGGCGCCAAACCACTGCGCCACCCAGGAATCCCGTAAGTAGTTTTTAAAGTGACGTTTGAGTTAATGATGCAATGTGGTAAAGTAGTATGAACCATTAACTAAATCGGAGGTCTGAGCCACACGTCCCAAGGCCTGGCTAACCTTATTTGGCTGTATGATGCCAAACATCTGAAATAAACAGTTCTTCCCAGTGCATGTCCCGCATGGTAAGACTGCCAGCTGCTTCCCCCACCAGCCCTGCTCTCCCTCTTCCTTGGTAATAGACCCTGATTATTAGCTGGGCTCACTGCCACCCATATTAAAGTCCTGCATCTCCCAGCCTCCTCCGCGCCAGCCATGGCTATATGATTACCTTCTGGCCAATTAATGCAAGCAGATGTGTTTCGCTGGACTTCTGGGAGGATCATGGGAGCCAACTCAGCTCCAGGAGCACTGTGCTTCTGCTTTTGTGCTTCTGCTTTTCCTCCTCCTTCAGGCCTGTTACTTGGACCAAGTAACTGGCATTTCAGCAGCCATCTTAGACCATAAGGCAAGCCTGAGGATGCAAGCCATGTACCGGGATGGAGTGAAAAATAGGAGCCTGGATCCCTGATGACACTGTGATGTCCTAAACCCTGCAGACTTCTTTTCAAAGACAAATGAACGTACACCTTGTTTTAGCCACTGTTATTTTGGTTTTTAGGTTAGGTGCAGTCAAACCTAAACTTATTGAAGACTATATATCAACATCGGACGCTGTATGGGTTCCACTGCCAGTTAACAGCATGTGACTTTTTTAAGTAGGTGACCAGGATAACAAAGCATTTTAATTAATCACCTTTCCATTGAGTCTTTCATAACAGTTAGATTTTTATCACCACCTACTTTCTTTTTTTTCCAGAACGACAGCCCCCACACATACATACTCTTCTCCCTAGTAGGTCTAAGTCAACTAATACATATGATTCACAAAATCTGCCCTCACGTGACAGAGACCAAAATCCAACTCTCTGGAACCCTTAAAAAACAACAACAACAAGAGAAACAGACCAGCATCCCCAGGTCTGCAAAACACAGAGAAGCCGTGACTCTCCAACTGGCGGGTAAAAACTAGCACATTTCTAAAATGATTTTCCCAGTCATGTGCACAGAGCAATGGGGTAAAAACAACAGTGTCATCAAGACTCATATTGGACTCATACAATCCCAGGCAAAGAGCCACCATAGACAAATGTCAAGGCACTATCCCAGCTCCCATGTGAGATTTATAGCAGGCATCAATATCAGCACCAACCACACGGCCCAATGGACTATGCACATTTCTAAGCATACGTTACCCTGATAGGGTCAAGGGTCATCCTGTACCCTGTGTTAAGTCTGACTCCCGCCATAACACAGTGCACCAGGGGGCTCCTCCCCGGCGATCCTAAAGCCCAGCAAATACAAAGAAAGAACAGAGTTTTGTCTCCTGAATGACAGAATTACAATGAGGTCTCTTGCCATCTCCTGCAGCCAGCAGAACTTTGACAAGTTAACTTTTCCTTCACAAGAGCCTAGACTTCCAAATGTAAATCTCACAGAAGGTAAAACCTTGTGTTGACAGCTTGAAATTACATTCAAATTTGAAATTTCCTGGAAGAAATGATTGTTTTTTCCAATTTCATCATCCTAGCTCAAGTTCTTAAAAGGGCTCAATAGGTAAGATGAGAGCACTTTGTCTCCTTCTTCCAGCATGATAAATATATAAGAAAATTCAGCTCCTATGTCACATTTTCTACCAATACATCTACTTATATTTACTCCATCATCCAAAGCAGTATCTAGGCAGAAATGTGAAAGGGCCACCAAAAGTTTTAATTTAATGTTTGAAGAACAGAATCTGGGAGGAAGGAGGTGAATAATCATATTTTATGGAACTTAAATCCATCATATGCATTATATATAACGTTCCATCTTTTGCAAAGATGAACTTTTATTAAGGGAGAAGAGGGCTCAAGTAGAAGAGATAAGTAAGAAAGGCCATTTTAAAGTAACTTGGAAAGTATATTTTGTGTGTGTGTCTGTCTGTATAGTATATATATATACCCACATTTATATACATAGATAAATATTTACTTTAAAAATGTCTGGAAAGGGCAGCCCGGGTGGCTCAGCGGTTTAGTGCTTGCCTTCGGCCTGTGGCGTGATCCTGGAGACCCGGGATCGAGGCCCATGTCAGGCTCCCTGCATGGAGCCTGTTTCTCCCTCTGCCTGTGTCTCTGCCTCTCTCTCTGTGTGTGTCTTTCATGAATGGATGAATAAAATCTTTAAAAAAAAATGTCTGGAAGGATATGCCAAATGTAATAGTTATACTCTCCGAAGGAGAACATTATCAGTTACCTTTCTCTTTTTTGTTTATCTGCGCTTCCTAATTTTTGTACCACAAAAACATCTACTCCACAAAAACATCTACTACTTAAATAATTTTAAAACGTATTTTTTAAAGTAAGCAGATTCACAGTAGTATCGACAGAAAAAGAAACCACATCTGGAACAGCTCAAAACAAAACAAAGTCTGAAGGATTTCTGGGCTCAACACTGAAGGAGACAGAGAGCAAAGTTCCTGCAACCAACACCATCTCCCAAAACCCTAATGCCCTCTTCTCCTCCACACAGGATGCTTAAAGTGATTTTAAGCATACCCTATTTAACAAATGCTATCCTCTGTACCACACAGTGCAGGCAAGAGAGAGCACAAATGACCACACAAAAGCCGCACAGTACAGCACCTGCAGAGTCCTCCAAGGAAAGAGACTGGTTTCCACCAACTCCCTATGTAATTATGCCTAACACTTGCTTTACAATCTAGTTTATGGATTCTGGATGTTTAATAAACAGTTACTTCTCAGTTCCCTGCTATTAAACACTAAGTAGTTACCACAATTAATAACACCCAGAGGCTATCAGGAGTCTATCATGACCAGCCAGGTCATGCTCTTCCAGTGGACACTGTTACCTGAATCAGTCCCACAGCTTAAACCACATGCCTCCTCCTCTTCCTTAGCGCCCCTTCTCTGCCAGGTACCTCAAGTTGGGGTAGTCAGGTAGAATGCAAACAGGTATTAGAGCTACCTGTTGTTCCAGCAAAGAGGAAAACCCCTTTTGTAATCACAGACACACTTCCCTAAAGTGGAAAAACATATCTACCTATATATATGTGGATATATATTGCACAGCATAGCAGAATTATACACTGCCAACCTTGCCTGTTAATATGAGCTCAGAATTATTGCAAACCCCACAGCTGCCTCATTCTTCTCTTTCCAAACCAATTTTTCCTGGCATTCATTCCACCCATACCTCTCAACTCAAGGGTGGAATGGTTTTAAGCAAGGAGTCTCACTGCCCACTGTGATTCCATTAGGAATCCACTCCCACTGTAGCCATGGGCTGGGTATAAAAGTGCTCTTGAGCCCTCCAGCCCCATCTCTTCATACTCACTGTTACTGGACTTAAGGTCGCGGTGGATGATGGGGACAATTGCCTCATCATGTAAGTAGTTCATGCCTCTGGCAATCTGCACAGCCCAGTTCACCAGGATGTCTGGGGGAATCCTTTTCCCAGATAACACTCTATTCAAGGGCCCTCCACGTGCAAACTCCATGACCAAGCAGAGGTTGGGTTCCTTCAGACACACCCCCCTAAGGGCAATGATGTTGGGGTGCTTCAGCATGGCGAAGAGCTTGGCCTCCTGGCGAACATTCTCTATAGTCTGGCTGATGTCCTCATCGGGGTCATGGCGAGCTGCTTTCACGGCAACCTCATCCCCTATCCAGAAAGCACGATAGACCTTCCCAAAGCCCCCGATGCCAATAATCTCTTCCAGGGTTAGCTCCGCAAAATCAATCTCTAACACTGAGAAAGAGAAGAAAAAAAGAAGTCAAAAACATTCTGAAAACACCACTGAATCACCCATTTACCTGGATGGGTAAACACAACAAGTTATCTGTTCACTTGGCTTTTTTGTCTTCCCCTATAAGGTAAGGTCCATCAAGGCAAGAAATGTGTTTAACCTATTTTATGTTGCATTATTCTTAATGACTAGCACATAAGTGGGTATTCAATAAATACTCATGTAATAATTTCTACTTGGACCATCATGCAAAATGTTGTACCATGACAAACCATTTTAACTAAAGGGAACATAGAGGAAGATCATTTTTATGAGATTTATTCATTTTACTGTGTACTAGATGGTGAGAAGCATACAATCCAGTGTCAAGGCAGACACCTAACAACCAAACCATAGTGTGAAAAGAGCCTTCGTAGCTGTATGATCAGATTAGGAAAACCACCAACTCCCACTGCAGGACAGGATTAAGAGGGTGAGTGGGAGGGGATTCTCAGGGAAGGCAACACTGGGAATGTGCCCTAAAGAACACAGGGAGAGTGCCCTGCTGGCTCAGGTGGTGAAGCATGAAACTCTGGATCTCAGGGTTGTGAGTTCCAGCCCCGTGTTGGGTGTAGAGATTACTTAAAAATAAAGTCTAAAAAAAAAAAAAAAGAATGAGTGGGAGGAATCTTATCAGGCAGCAAAGAGCAAGGTGGAGAAGGACAATCCAGGCAAAGGGAAGGTCATGAGCAGGAACACGGGGCATGAAAGTATATGGCATATTAAGAACTTCACGGAGTCCAGGGTGGCTGGATCATATGTACTAGGATAGGAAATGAAGCTCAAGGTCTTGTTGGGGTCAGCTAGGTTGTGAAATGTTTTTGAAGTCATTCTGAGTGGCTTGAACTTCACACTGTGAATGTTAGGACTCATGTATTTTTAAGTAGGGGAGTGTTATTAGACTGATTTAGAAAGGACATCCATTCTGGCAGCCATCTACCTGGAGGACAGGGAGCCTACTGCAAAAGGAACTACTAAGGAGGCCATTTGAGTAATTCAGGCATGCAGGCACCGGGGTCTGAATATCAGTAGCAGTGAAGACGGACAGTATGGAGTAAATTGGGAGAATATTTTCAAAACGGGCCTGGTGACTAAGATGCGCAGGAAAGGAGCCTCCCTGGGGACATCTTACTCTAGAAGTCACCTGCTCCACAGCTCCATCCCTGATGTTCCCAAGGACCACACCCAACCACTCATCTCCTTTCCAATGCAGAGTATGAACCTAGGGTACCTGATTATATCTTCAGCTCTGTTTGGAAAGGCTTCCATGGAAAGATAATAATAGCTACCAGTGATTATAAATCTCGGGCTAGATAAGGTGTTGCTAAATGAGTAAAGTGTTATTTTATGTTTCTCTCACGAAAACCCTGGGCTCTGTCTTCTCAGTCTCTTTGTCTTTACCTGGCTGACTCATACTCAACCCTCAGGTCTCAGCCTAAACAAAATCTCCTAGAGAACCTTTTCCTAACCCCTGCCTAAATGAGGTCAGGCCCCCATCAAACACGTCCATAACAGTCTCTGCCTGGCAAGACCCAACAAGGTTTAATTACTTGTTCTGTGCCTGCCTTCCTGCTAGATTGTGTGATCCACAAGAGCAGATTCTTTCTGCTTTATTCACCACTGTACTCATCTTACCGAACATTCAGCAGGTAAACAACAGTTAAGTAAAATGGGGGGGGGGGGACCTATCTTAGTAGGAAAAAAAACCTCAGAAACAGAAAATAGTCACTTTGCTTTAAAAAAAAAAAAAACTAAGAAAACAAAGATATATTTCTGAACTTTTGGCAAGACCAAAAGAGGAACTGCCCACTGCTGGCTGTTCTCTTCCTTCCTCAGCCAGCTACAGGATGCCTCCAACCTCCACTGACGTGCTGACAGTGCTCAAAACTCTATTCTTGCTTAACTAGAGTATTTCTGTCCTATCTAGAGCTCATATTCATTTGTATTTTACAATGCAACTGGCAATCTGCACAAAAGAATACAAAAAGATATACCCCCAAAGTTCCAATTGTTCAAGCTTTTCATCTCATCTGGCACTCCTCTTAAAGAATAAATGTTATGGCTGGTCCTCCAGACTAACAATCAACATCCATCTAAAACCTTCCAGCATATCTTTCACTACAGAGGCCAGAAAGCTAAGAACTACATTTCCCAGACTCCCTGACTGCTATAGGTCGGCTTCTGCCAACTACATGCACATGATATGTAAGAAAGAAGTGAGATGGACACCATTTTCTTGCTGCTTCTCCTGGCAAGCATGGCTGTGGAGAAGTGGGATTTTTCTGCATATCAGTGTCCAATCATTAGCTCTGGGCAGATGTAGAAAGGAATGCTGCAGGGCCAAGTGGTTACCTAATCTCTGGACACCAGGATGTTCTTGAAATCGACAGCTTCAATGTCAACTCCTGATTCTGCACGTTCCCAATTAGAGAAGTAGTAGCTTGCTACATGGGCCAGATCTGCAATGTTCTGGGAGTTGTTCCCGTAGGTCCGGCTAAGAACCCCTTCTTCCTGCCCTTCCAACAATTCTGTAAGCACCTAATTTCCTGTGCTAAACCACTTTTTGCTTAAAATAGCTTAAGTGTTTCTGGGTCCTAAAACAAATCCTGATTACTAATTCTTGTCTTATCTATGTGAATGAGAAAAAAAATGTGGATATTAAAGAGCGATAAGAAACCCCCTGAGGAAATATGTAAGTTATGTTAAGAGTCTCCTTGGTCATAAGAGGAAGAAACATTCACTTTTTCTAACAGCTTTTTACCCTGATGAAAAGATATCTGTCTCTTTAACAAGTTTCCATTCACAGGGGAAATACCCAACTGAAGATCTGAATTTTCCTTAAGGGAATTAACTGTTGTATTTTCTCTTACACCCTTCCTTCATTCCTCTGGTCTGAAGCATAGTTGTGAACACACAGGACGTGTTAAATATTTAAATGTAGAAGGATTTAAAAGAAGTGTTTCTGAACCTGGGTGCTGAAGGGACAGCTCCTCAGACGGCATTTCAGAGAAGACAGAAAACCTCTGTGTGGAAGGGAAAGCATTAATCTCTCTCTGGGTAGAAAGAAACTCTCAGGTTCTTGCTAACTAGGTATGGAAATATTATGACCAACCTTCAAGAAAAATATAGAACACAGCTTGCAAGCAGATAGAAGACAGAATAGTGGGGCCTAGAGGGAGGGTACTTCCTTTTCCCTTCCCGGTGAAGAAGTCCTTTTGGGTAGGAACTACACCTGCAGTTCTCTCTTCAGAGAGAATGTGGGGCCCTCCTCCTTTCGCATTCCAGTCCAGACCTGGTTTTAAATAAGAATCAGGCCAAGTCACATTTAACACACTTTTCAGTTTCTGTGGATAGATATTTCCAAGAATATCAGGAACAGAACCTTATTTCTTTCATTTTTGCAATCAAGATGTTACTCTCTCTCAATTGTATTCTTGAAAACTAAACATATAGGCACGCTCTGGTGGGTTTGGGGCAAGTGAATGGTACACACCTTACTCATTTAAAAAATCCCAAGTACACCTGAAAATCCATCCTTATATTTCTAGTGGATGCAAGGAAAAAAAATGAAAATTAGTAATAATCTTAATCTATGCCCTGCTTTAAAACAGATACAATTCTCCTATAAGAGAAACTTCTTTTTCTTTTTTTTTTAATGCCTAGGACTATCTCCCAAGATGATAAATTTGGAACTGTACATTTTTCCTCTTTCACTAAAAAAAAGATGAGTGAGCTCCTAGGTTATTTATATTTGTCAGCCCCATGGAGAGCTAAACTTTCATATCTACATTGGAGGGGATAAAGGCACTAAATAATAGATGATTTCTAATAAATCTATTATATTTTTGTTTGTCACTAGATTTGGTAATTTCCTCTTCTGTTTTGAGTAAAGTTTGAAACAAAATTTTCTATTTGAAAAGCAATATTTAAAACTAAAACTGTACATTCTTACTTGAGTGTCTGCTATTCATAATCTATGTCACAATTCATGCCTCCAGAGAAGTTCAAAAGGCTGACTAAGGAAAAGCTGTCAGTGGGCTTGATTTCATTCTAGGTCTTTGGAGACAAGGTTGTCAGTCATTTTATTTTCCAAGGGACACTAACTGAACTGGTGGACACAGGATGCCCATCAGAGCACCTGTTAGCATTTCCCACGTTCATCTTTATCAAAGCATTGTACCCATTACAATTGGTATTTACATCACCAATCTCCCCTAGGGTGACTTTTAAGTAACTCCTTATCTTATCATTTCTTTATCTCCTGATATTTGTTTAAGTTTTATTTATTTAAATAATCTCTACATCCCATGTAGGGCTTGAACTCATGACCCTGAGCTCAAGAGTCACAGGCTCTACCAGCTGACACCCCTATCTAGGCACCCCTATCTCCTGGTATTTCATACAGTATCTACCTTTTGCTAGGCACTCACATTGGCTTTTGAATGGAATTAAATTTTCTGAATTACCAAGAGTTAATTCCATTCAAGTTTAGAACTCCTGATGAGACCAAATAAAATAACTTACCAGGGCCTTCAAATGTCATGTTCTTAAGTCAATTCTTTTAATAAGCACAAAGTACTTCCTACCTTCTCACTGTCTGAGTTCTAGATACATGAAACTAGTCTATCTAGAAAAGGAGCTGCTAATGTAGCACACTGTGGAAAAGTCTGGTGTTCTGCAGATGAGTTTGTCCAGCCCAAGTCATATTCACTCCTGACTGTCTGACAGCTGGGGGCACAAAGATGGAAGAAACAGAATTCCTGCTCATGAACCTCATATAGCTCTCCTACTTTGACATTAGCTGTAAAAAAAAAAATAAAAAAAAAAAATAAAAAAAAAATCACAGAACGGCACCCATAAAGAAACTCAAACCTCTAATTTATGTGTAAAAAAAAAAAATGCACTGTGTCTAATACACCAGGCCATTCTTCCAATATCTCTTCTAATATATAAGACCAAGTTCATCTTCATTCAGCACTATTTCAGACACTACCTTAGGACCCTTACTTAGCCTTCATCTTTCCAGTACTAGAGCCAAAAAGATTTGACGCCCAAAAACCATTTAAAATCATCTGTCTCCTCCAGGCATTATAAAGATCCAAATGTAGAAATAGGAACTTTTACAGTGAATGAGAGGGAGACAGAAACAAATGGGAACTAAGGATCTGAACATCAGTTTGATAGTCCAAACACCAATAAAAAAAGGAGAATAGAAATATAAGGAAAGAGGTTATGATATTCCTACTACGTGATGGTATTTAAAGAAAACATCTTAAATAAAGTAAAAGAATTGTTCGGGTGAAACTAAGTTATAGGACCAAAAGATAAGTGTTACAAATGAAATTTAAACTAAATGCCTGAAGTTGGCCCCTGGTAACAATTCTTTTAAACTAACTAAAATGCAAAGTATGCAAAATATGGAATAAACAACAATATGTATTAACAACTTTTAGCAAGGAAGAAATTATGGAAATCACCAAAAATAAAACAGTGTAAACTGCACAAGAAGACATTTACATCTTCTAAAACCACCTAGCAGAACTGATTAAGGCATTCCAATGGTAATATAACTCCTTTGGGAAAAAAAAAAAAAAAGGAAATTTTATTGCAGGGTGTAAAACAGGGGGCCCCTGGGAAATTGGTGAAAACCAGGACGCTGGAAGAAAGGCTCTAGGAGGGACCCGTGGGTATGGTCCCTCTGAGATTCGGCAAACACCAAATATAGGCAAGGATCTAGGGTGAGAAGAGAGGAGAAAATGTATTATCTGAACAGCCTGGGTGTCAAGGGACTGGGATTTAGCCACTGTACCTTGTGCTCCTGATCTCTCATGGGGGAAAGACATACTTTTCCCTCTCCGATCATTTCTCCACTCATCACCTGCTTCTGCACACATTCGCACCCTTCTCAGCACATCATTCAGTGAGACTCCTAAAGGTACAACTCCTGAGATAGGAGACGCGATCCAGGACATCAGCACGACATTGCAAAGACACTAGAGCCTTGAATTCACACGGGCTTCCGGGACTCGAGGGCCAGCCCAGCCAGCCCTGCGGAAGACACCCCCATCGGCCTCAAAGCAAATGCCTTGAAGGGGCGGGGACAGGCGGGAGACGAGGTCGGGAAGGTCTCCGACCTGGGGACTAGGGTTACGACAGGAACTACCAGCTTGCCTGAAACCCTTCCAGATGTGGGGAGGCCGGGAGGGCGCAATGGGGCGATTCTTACCCTGGAGCTTCGGGATGTGTACGGCAGAAGCCGCGGCCGAGGTGGTCAGACGAAGGTTGGGAGCCCGAGCGCCCGAGGCTCCAGCGAGGCCTGCGGCGTCTCTACCGTGCCCCGCGCACCCACCCGGCAGCGCCCGCAGCCCGAGCGCGCGCACCCCCACCCTCAGGGGGAGCTCTCCCCACCGGATCCCGACCGCCCCGGGCCTCCGGCCCCCCTCCCTTCCCCTCCCTTCCCCTCCCTTCCCCTGCCCTCCCCGCCCGCGGCCGCGCCTTCGCTCACACTGGATGGGCGGGTAGCAACTGGGGTCCTCGCCGCCGTGCTGGCAGCGGCCGGAGAAGGCGCTGCGCGGGGTCACGTAGTTGCTGGGGAAGATGCCCACCCGCTGGTTCAGCTGCCCGGTCCACCAGCCCTCGTCGCCGGACACCTGCGAGTCCTTGGACAGCACCTCCACCACGTCGCCCAGCCGCAGGGTCAGCTCGTCCTCGCCCGCCGCCTCGTACTCGAACACGGCCGTCCAGTAGGGCAGCGGGGCCTCGGAACCCGGCTCCCCCGGGGCCGCCGCCGCCGCCTCCTCCTCCTCCTCCTCCTCCTCCTCGGCCGCGGCCCCCGCTCCGTCCTCCCCCGGCGGGGCGGCAGCGGCGGCGCTCGCCAGGCAGCCGAGAAGCGCTCTGGAGGGCTCCATGGAGCGGCCGATCCATAGGGTGCGGGGCTGCCGCCGCCCGCAGGAGCCGCCGCTGCCTATTGTTCATGCGGCTCCGCAGAGCTGGGGGGACCCCCTCCCCCGACGGCGGCCGCAGGTAGGGCCCGGGCTGGCGGGGCGGGCAGAGCCGGCTCGCTGGGGCTGGGGCTGGGGCTGGCGCTGGCGCTGGGGCTGGCGCTGGGGCTGGCGCGGCGGCGGCGGCGGCTGCGGCGAGCGCACCGGGCGGGAGAGCTCACCGCGGCGTGGGGGCGCGGCGGCCCGGAGCCCCCGCCCTCGCGCTCGCCCCCTGGGGGCGGCCCGGCCACCTCCGCCCGGGCACCTGCTCGCGCAGCCAGCGCCCGCCGCCGCCCGCCGCGCCCCCCGCTCCGCGCCCCGCGCCCCGCTCCCGTCGCGCCCCGCCCCCAGCGCCGCCCGCACGCCCGGGACCACCTGACGCGGGCCTGGCTCCGCCCCAGCCCTGCGGGCCCGAGGGGCGGGGCCGCCCGCCCTGCCGCCCTCCCATTGGCCGCCGCCGCCGACCGCAGGTTCCTCGCGCCGCGGCGGGGGCTGCCCCGCCCCCTCCGCCCCGCGCGCCTACGTGTCTGGGTCCCCCCTCCCCCGGGCCCGCCCCTTTTGCGGGCTCCCCTTCTCACCCCCGGGTCGACCCACTTCTCTCTCCCATTGGCTCCTGGCAGCTCCGACCATTGGTCCGTGGTACCTGTCCGTTTCCTGCGAGAGTTCAACACCTCCTGGCAGGAGGAGGCCGCGGCCTCATTGGGTGCTGGAGGAGGGATGGGTGGATCCTAAAAGGTAAGGCCGAGCCTCCGTTCACACCGAAAAGGCTGGAGGAGGCCGCGCCCTTTGTTTGCCGCGGTAGGGCCGGGGCCCGCTTGGACAGCACCTGTGCTCCGGACCCTGAAGTGAGCTTTCGATAGGGAGCAGAGGAAGAGCGAGCTGGCTTGTGCCTCCCCGGCCAGAGCCCTTTCTTCTCCAGCTCCCTCTTACAGTTGGATTCTCCGCGCTCTTGGACGTGCCTCTGCTCCAGTCCACGCAGGTGCATCAGCTCCTGCTCCCAGCCCCACTCCCACCCAGGAAGCCTTTCATCTCCGTAAGACCTTTAGGCCCATTGGAATGTTCTTTAGAAGCACTCTTAAAACTACAGTTGTCGCCTTTCCAGAGAGTTCGCCCGTTGCTGGGCTCCTATAAATCTCTTTTTATAGGAGATTCCGGTAGTGTCACTTTTCAGAACTCGGAGGAAAGGAGAGACCACTTGACTGAGGCTTCAAATTGAGTCTGGAAAGCTCAGTTTGAAAGCTGTCGTTGAAGGGGCCTTGGTCCCTCAGAACAGACTCCGTTTTCTACAGTTTGAGTTTCTTTTGCTTGAATGAATTGCACCTCAGATCATGGTGACCTCTAGAAATCAGACTAAGAACCGAAGTAGAGGGATGCCTGGATGGCTCGGTGGTTAAGTGTCTGCCTTTGGCTCAGGTCATGATCCTGAGATGGAGTCCCGCATCAGGGAGCCTGCTTCTTCCTCTGCCTCTCTCCCTATGTGTCTCATGAATAAATAAATAAAATCTTTAAAAAATAAAATAAGGTTTAAAATAAAAACTATTTCCTTAAAAAAGAAAAAAAAAAAAAGAACCAAAGTAGAATATACATACGAGCCAATGCCACAGTTCACAGTTCACGATCAAGGGCCAATCTTTTCCTACATCCTTTTGTTATCCTCATTTCTCAAACATTTAAGAATGAGTAGGTGGCCTCTAATATTTCTTCTTTGCCTTAATCCTGTCATAGTAATCTAGATTTCCAAAGAGGAAGTTTTCTGACATTTCAAAACAAGTCAATGATGAAAGATCTGGCCTAATCTCTACCAAACTGTTACCTTTTCCCCTTCAGTGGTAGGAATACATATGATTTGGTTAGCAAGAGTTAGTGCTTTCCTGAGTATTTTCTGTTTAATTTTAGTTTCAGGTTGATCATTAGACAAACTGGGGACAGGCAATTTGTAAAGATAATTGGGGCTGGCATCTTCAGTCCTGCCCCCACGAGCTGCTTGATCTTGGGCAAGTGCTTACACTGTAGTTCAATCTGCTTCTCCTCTCGGAGAGTGGACTGAAGATCTGTGTTCTTAAAGGCCCCATATTGTGTGATTTGAATAAAAGTATGGCTACAATGTATAGCTAGGCATCCCACACATTTGGAGTCTTGGGGAGGTAAGAGTACTATTCTGAAGAGCATCCTGTGTAGGTCTTGAGAAAAGACTTCTGAGTAAATGCCCTAAAACTAATATTCAGATTCTTACCGTACATATGATCAGTGAACTAGAAAATATATGGATGAGTCTTTGAGTGATTCTCTAGGTTTTTTGTTCAATCTAGAACTATTCCACCCCCAAGCAGAAGAGCAGGGAGGTGGGGTAAAAGTACTCCGTTTTTAAAAAGATCATTAAAAAAAGGATTTTCTTTAAAGGTTTTATTTATTGGGCAGCCCGGGTGGCTCAGCGGTTTAGCACCACCTTCAGCCCAGGGCATGTTCCTGGAGACCCAGAATCTAGTCCCACGTTAGGCTCCCTGCATGGAGCCTGCTTCTCCCTCTGCCTGTGTCTCTGCCTCCGTGTGTGTGTGTGTGTGTGTGTGTGTGTGTGTCATGAATAAATAAATAAAATGTTTTTTTAAAAAAAGATTTTATTTATTTATTTATTTTTTATTTATTTATTTATTTATTTATTTGAGAGGGAGAGCATTAGCAGTAGGGGGCGCTGAGGGAGAGGAGAGGGACAAGTAGACCCCCTCCTGGGCAGGAAGTCAACTGAGCTGGAACCCAGGACCCTGGGATCATGACCTGAGCCAAATGCTGATGCTTAACTAAGCCACCCAGGTGCTCTGTGGGGGAAAAAAAGATATTCTTCATAAAATTTTAATTTGGAGGAAAAAGAAATTTTTCCTAGATACACACACACAAGAAATAGAAACAAAGGGAAGCCTGAGTGCCTCAGCGAGTGAGTGTCTGCCTTTGGCTCAGGGAATGATCCCTGTCCCAGGATCGAGTCCCACATTGGGCTCCCTGAGAGGAGCCTGCCTCTCCCTCTGCTTATCCTGCCTCTCTCTGTGTCTCTCATGAATAAATAAATAAAATCTTAAAAAAAAAAAAAAAGAAGCAAACAGAAACAAAAAACTAGGAAGGGAGAGAGTTGTCAATGGTAGCTCTCTTTCAAGTGGTAGGATCCTTCATTTGGGGAATATAAAAATTAGTGAAGGGGAATAAAGGGAAAGGAGAGAAAATGAGTGAAAATATCAGTGAGGGTGACAAAACATGAGAGACACCTATCTCTGGGAAATGAACAAGGGGTAGTGGAAAGGGAGGTGGGCGGGGGTTTGGGGTGACTGGGTGATGGGCACTGAGGGGGGCATTTGGCGGGATGAGCACTGGGTGTTATGCTAAATGTTGGCAAACTGAACTCCAATAAAAAATTTTTTTAATAAAAACAAAAAAGTAGTAGGATTATGAGTATGCAATTTTTATTGTCACTTTCCTTATTGGTAATTCTGTGTGTTTCTCTGTAGCTTTTTTGATCTCCAGTCCTCTCCCACCCAGAGAAGAAGAGGAAAAATAAATATCCTTGATCCCTTTGTAGGAAAAGTCTAACCCCTCATATAATCTAAATCTTTAATAACCATAGCATGTGTTTAGGACTTATGAAGAGTCAATTCATCAAACATTTCAAGAAGTCATTCAGTAAATATTTGTCCCATGGATAAGTACTAGGAATTCAAATGAGGGAAAATCCTTTGGGCTAAAGTTGTCTAGCAGGGTTTCATGGAGACAGAACCAAAGCCTGCCCTGAGGGGTTCCAGGTGGAGAAGGGAAGAATCTGCACCAAGGGAAAAAGGGAGAGTATGGGCACAGCCACCAAGCTGGGATGGAATGAGTAGGCTCGTCTGAATGGAATGAAGCAAGAGGCGGAATTGAAAATAGGTTGAGACCAGATGCTAGAGGGCCTTGTAATGGCTTGAATCATATCATACTAATAGTTATTTAGTTGATTATTTGTAATTATTTAATGCTGAGTTTGTTCACTATAAGGGTAGAAACCTGTCTGGTTCTCTACAATTCTGCCTAGCACATAACTGGCTCTCAGTACACATTTGTGACTGAATGGCTAACTTGAATACCAAGCTAAGAATCCTGGCTTTTGTTTAGCAGATAAAAGGTTATCATGGAAAGCTTTTGCACAGGGCTGTGAGGGGATGAAATGTCTCTGTAACCTAGGACTAGAAGAGATGAGGAATGCAGAAGGTGCTTACTTACATTGGTCATTAAAGGATGTATGTCCCTTGCTGAGTGGAGACTAGAAAATGTGCATGTGGAAACTGACATGATAGACAGCAGTGACAGAAATACCAGCCTGCAAAGAGGAGAGTACAGAAAGGGGGTCGTGGAAAATGAAATTGACTAAATAAAAGAAGGCCAGATTGCAAAAAGACTTTGAAAGGCTGATGGATTTACCAAGATTTTACTGCTATTAAGTTTTCCAGCAGAGGTTGACAAATATCACCCTAAAAGTGACCATGTTCTCCACACTGAAGAATATAGCATCAGTGATGCACTTGGCAGTGGACTTGTGCCAGATCATGATTTATCCTGGCTCATTCATTCAGAACTCTGCAGGGCACCTGGGTAGCTCAGTGGTTGAGCATCTGCCTTTGGCTCAGGTCATGATCCTGGGGTCCTGGGATCAAGTCCCACATGGTGCTCCCCACAGGGAGCCTGCTTCCCCCTCTGCCTGTGCCTCTGCCTTTCTGTGTCTCTCATGAATAAATAAAATCTTTTAAAAATAAAATAAAATTAAATCTTTGCAACTTTGGGGGCGCCTGGGTGATGTAGTCGTTTGAGTGTCCGACTCCTGGTTTCAGCTCAGGTCAGGATCTCTGGGTCGTGAGTTGAGCTCCATATTGGGCTCCTCACTCAGCAGAGAGTCTGCTTAAGACTCTCTCCTTGGGATACCTGGGTGGCTCAGCGATTGAGCATCTGCCTTCGGCCCAGGGCATGATCCTGGAGTCCTGGGATCAAGTCCTGTGGCAGGCTCCCAGCAAGGAGCCTGCCTCTCCCTCTGCCTGTCTCTGCCTCTCTCTGTGTGTCTCATGAATAAATAGATAAAAATCTTAAAAAAAAAAAAAAGACTCTCTCTCTTTCTCCCTCTGCCCCTCCCACTTGTGTTCTTTCTCTAAAATTAATAAATCTAGGGCAGCCCAGGTAGCTCAGCAGTTTAGCGCCTGCCTTCGGCCTGGGGCGTAATCCTGGGCCCCCGGAATCAAGTCCTGCGTCGGGCTCTCTCCATGG